AGCAAACAAACAAAAAAAACTTGCTACATACACCGTGTTAGGCGAAACCCTGCCTCCTTCCCCCGCCCCCCACTGTCCACTTTGAAACCTTTCGCAAATCAGAATATTGAAGCAAGAACTCAAGGAAAGGTACAACAACCAAAACTTTATTGTGAAAGATTACACAGATCACAATAGTCTATTAGAGCCGTGTATAAGCTGATTTACCTAATGGCTTGGAACACCCCCCATACAGCAAAAAAAATAAAATATATATTTTCAAATTTATTTGTAAATATATTTCAAAATATACAAAAAAATATATTTGTTAAGATATATTTCAAAATATATTTATGTACATATAATTTGTACAAATATATTTTGGAAATTTTTGTGTATTTTTGAAAATATATTTGTACATTTAAAATAGGCTACATTTTAAAAAACATACAAAAAATGGCCCAAAAATATATTTGCTAAAATATATTTTCTACCAATACATTTTGGGCCATTTTTGTATATTTTTGAAAATATATTTTAAATATAGAAATATATTTTTAAAAAGCATTTTCAAAATATATTTTGACCTCTATATATTTCAGTCCAAGAAAATGCATTTTCTTGCCCCAGAAATACATTTAGAAATATATTTTGGTATATGAAGGTTGAAACTAAATATATTTCCTATTTTTAAAATATATTTAATTGAGCTTCCCTGTTTGCAACATATATTTAGCATATAGGCCTATTTCAAATATATTTTGGCCACTTTTTTTTCTTTTTTTTTTGCCATATGGGCCTTTATTCACTGGGACAGCACTGTATGACATTATTATACAAGAAAAAGGGGGCAGAGCAAAGAGAAACACTGCCACGCGATAAAATGCGATTGTGAAAGTTTTCACAAATCGAGCTCGACCTAAAACAATGGTTTTGTATTCCAGCAGTCTGCGTGTTTATTGGTAATAGACGTTAAACATGAAGAACGCCTTTCACATTCCTTATAGCGGACTTACCAAGGGGTTTACGGACAAGAGCTGTGAAAAAATTCACAGATCAAGCTGGTGAAGATGACATCGGTTTCATTCCTCTAAGTGTCCAACTTTTGGAGCTATAGGCATTATAAAATTAAGAGTCGCTACGAAAACCCCCCGAAAAACCTGATTTTGGCCCGAAGGACAGCGTCACTTGAATTCACAAATCATGGAGCGCACTGCGTATTTATAGCCAAAAGAAATCTGAATATCAAACCGCAAACTCGTGAAGTCGTCCCAGTCCATGCAGAACACCAGGATCAGCTTGTGGATGAGGAGCATCTCCACTATGGTGATGATCAGCGAGATGATGGGACACAAACCCCACACCACCATGCAGTAGATCCAGTAGGTGTGAAGCGGGTGACCCCAGACGTAGCTCACCGCAAACGTCACCGCGTACATCACGATCTGCGTTACGTGCAAGGCGCCGCGAGTGCTTGTCAGGGCGGAAAGAGAGAACTTGGACTTTTCCATCTTGACAATAGCCAGCGTGGAGTGGCTCTTCAACAGGTCTGAAGGCGTTATGAAAACAAGCTGCTTTCGGAGGAAGATAAAAAGGCATGACATGCCAGATCATGCAAAAGACACTGCAACTATCACACCATAAAGCTCCACCTCGGCCTAACAATTATCATTGGGGAATATACTCAAAAGTCAAGTCACATTTATTTATGGTGCTTTATACAAAGTTCATCAATTATGAAACAAATTCAATTCAGCTGTAAAGCAGCTCTACAGAAGACAATAGTGTCACTATTCAGCTCAGTTTAATTAAGTGTTGATTTAATTCAGAATTTCAGTTCAATAACTGTCAATGTTGCATAGTTCATCAATTATGAAACATTTAATCATTCAGTTCAGCTATAAAGCAGCTCTATAGAAGACAATAGTGTCATTATTCAGCTTAATTTAGTTGTGTATTGTTTCAGTTCAGTTCAATAACCGTCAATGTTGCAAAGGTCATTAATTATAAAATTAATTCAATTCTATAAATCAGCTCTACAGAAAACAGTAGTGTCATTATTGACTGCTGATTAATTTAATCCAATAATTACGAAATGACTTCAATTTCATAAATTTAGCTCAATTTAGTTATATATTCATTAGTTCTATATTGATTCAATTCAGTTCATTAACAGTGTCAGTGTTGCAAAGTTCATCAATTATGAAGCAAATTCAATTCAGCCACACAGCAGCACTACAGAGAGCAATAGTGTCATTATTCAGCTCAATTTAGTTCTGTATTGATTCAGTTCAGTTCAATATGTTGCAAAGTTCATCAATTATGAAACAAATTCAATTTCAGCTACAAAGCAGCTCTACAAAAAATAATTGACATTATTTAGCTGAATTTAGATCAGCAACAATGTCATTTTGCAAAGTTCATTAATTACAGTAACCTTTTTGGTATTGCAAAATTATTGCAATTATGAATCAAATTCAACTTAAGCATAAAGCAGCTCTACAAAAATGATAATGTTAATATTAAATTCAATTAAGTAAAATTTTTATTCAGTTCAGTGACAGTGTCAATGTTGCAAAGTTAATCAATTATGAAACAAATTCAATTCTATAAAGTGGTTATAGAGAATGCAGTGGTGTTATTTATGATTCCAGGCTGAACCAAGTCAGATTTAGTCAGGTTAAAAAGCTTTCTGTGAAGTGAAAATCACTGGATGCAACCAAGAAATGAGTTCTGAACATCTTTACTTTAAGCTGGATTAACTTTGACAGTTGAAATGGCACTGTAATGGAGGAAAATTAGTCAAATGTTTCACAACCATTGATTATATTTAACAATCTTTGTTATTTATTTGTCAGAATCATATTATGGAGTAAGGAAATGTTGGAGTTTGCAACTGAGCTTATTTTCCTCAGTGCCACTGAGTTTTAGCTGGAAGAACATCTTTGAATAATATCTAGATACTGTCAATGTCCTGACTTTATTTAAATGTGCCTATGATAATCTAACAGCATGAGATTGTTCTTGCTAATGTAAGCATGAACACCAGTGTGACCATGTGCAGAGCTGCTTCAGAGAACTAAATTTATATTATTAATTTATAAATGTAATTAATTTATATGTGTTAATACTGTCATTTAGCATTACCGCTCAGGCCGATCTAGCAGCTAAAGTCTGCTGCAGCCTTAAATCTGCCCTTAAGCAGCTTCATACGTTTGCAGCCATAGAGATCAGTAAATGTGCAATATTTTCATGATTTTAGAAACATAAATGGTTTATTACTGCAGTTCGAAGGGATATTTCAGCCAAAAATGAAACTTCCAAACCTGAGGTTCTTTCTTCTGTTGAACACTGATATTTTGTTGTAAACTAAACAGTTGCTGGTAGCCATTGACTTCCATTTTTTTCCTACTGTGGAAGCCAATGGCTACCAGCAATTCTTTGGTTACCCATATTCTTCAAAATATCATATTGGTGACAAATGATGACAAACTTTTCATTTTTGGGTGAACCATCCCTTACACATATTAATCATTAGTAGATATTCAAGAGTGGAGCAGCTTTCCTGTTGTCCTCATTACTCATTAGCCATGCATGATCATGCATTATCATTATGCATCATCTATGCAGGATTAAATTACTAAAATGGACTGCTGGTGAACTGCATCCATGTATATTACCTATTTACCACATTTACGTAATATATTCTTTGATTATATAAATGTTTTCAGTGAATCATTGTAAACTGGACAATGGGTCACCTATTCCTTGTTATTTTGTCTGGTTGGTCTATATTTAAAGGGGTCATATGATGCGATTTCAATTTTTCCTTTCTCTTTGGAGTGTCACAAGCTCTTGGTGCATAAAGAAGATCTGTAAAGTTGACGCCGTTCTCAAGCCCCCCGGCCTCCGCTCACTCTAGCCGGCCGTGTGTGACACTGTGTGTTTCGTTGTGAAAGCGAAACTACTTTGTTTGGCCTTCCAAAAGAGGACACGACTAGAAATCAGTGGTTAAGTTGTATTTACAACACTGTTCCAGAACAGTTCAACCCAAATATTCAGATGTGTGCAGCACATTTTATGGAGGACTGTTTCCTGATCCTGGAAGAGCAGACTACAATGCCGGCTGTTCTGACTCACAGACTGTAAGTACGTTTTTTTATATTTAAAGAATTTGTCACTGATGATTCAAATGCAAGTTTTGAGCATTGTAGAGTAGGGCTTGCTGTTTCTCATTTCTCCGATCACAAATGCAGACATGGTTTTATGTTTACGTGACGTGATGCAACGCAACGCGGTAAAAGACGGTATAAGTCATTATAATCCGTAATTATGTCCCCACTGGATGCAACAAATGCCTCGTTTCGCAGTGTAAAGGATTGCGTGAGTCTATAAACCCTAGGAAGGCAAGAACTGTCTCCATGCAGCAATGCCGCCTTGATTGAGTTATCTTAATGACTGTCATGTGTTGGGCGGATGTTGTGCACAAGGCCGGGCGTTGTCTCATTACCAGCTCAGCTCTCTGGCCAGTGAGATGACCATAAAATTGTAAACAGGTCAGGTGATACAGGACGACCTTTTATTTTTTTCTAGTAATGCAGAAAGAAAAACAGAGAGGATTTGTGTAATTCTGGGAAAGATAGGTAATTATTAATAGACAAATACTTATATAGAAAACTAGAAATCGCAATAATAAAGCCGTTGTGTCCAAAGTTTTGACTGGTAGTGTAAATTTAGATATATAGACAGACACAGACAGACAGACAGATAGATAGATAGATAGATAGATAGATAGAATTCAAACATAATTGTATATCTTTCTTTGTTTAATTTATATGTATATTTTTGTGTAAGTCTCTTCGCCCAGCGTGCAATGTGCTGGTGTACTTGCGCATGCGCACACAATCACAAATATGCCCGCTGCCTGACAGACAGTCGACAGCAAATCAGGTAAGACGATTCATTCAAATTTCTATTCCAGTTACAACATTTTCTAAATTCCACGCATATTTGAGCGATTCCTATACTTGAAGTGCTGCATTGCAGACTTTTAAATGGCTTGACATCGGCATGTAGTTCACCGAGTGCCTTTACACTGCCTGCACGTTAGCTGCAGGAGCTATTCACATTAGCTTAATCTGAAGCGTCGCCGTTTCATGTGCATGTCTACGTGTATTAAAGTCACTTTTAATAAAACCGAATACGCCACAGAGCTGTCAGTGTGCTGCATGCATCGGTTGTGTTTGCATATACTAGTGTGTGAGTGAGTGTCTATAACGTCGTCTGTCAGTCAGGGTCACACACCAGGCGGATTGGGACGAGGTAAATGTGTGCGTTTCATAATGTTTATGTCTGTGACTGAAAGTTGACATGTGAAATATAGATAGTGTTATATGCACATATGAAGCATTAGAGCAGCGACAGAGCGCGTGCCAGGTGGGCTTGACGGCGCGCGCGTGAGGCGCTTCTCTCGCTCGCTGATTGGCTGACAGACTGTGACGTGCGTCCTCATCGTTACCCTTACATTAATACGCTATTATTACAACAGTAAAACTATTAATTTTTTTTAAAAGAATGACTTTGGAAGCTTATTACTCTGTTTAAAGAGACCCAATATTTATATATTATGGTTATACAGTGCCTGTACTCAAATATGACCATCCACCTGCGAGGGCCCCCCATCCTAACATTTATATATTTTCATCCATAAAGACCCACTTAAAGGCAGAGTAAGTGATTTCTGGTAGCCAATGTTGATATTTGAAATCACCAAAACAAACACGCCCCTACCCCTAAAAATATAAATAATACATTTTTAGTTGAAAAAGCGCCCTTATGCTTTTTTAACATTTTTTATTTATTTATTTTTTAGTGTGTGTGTTTATTAGGGATGCACAAGTTGAAAAGTTTAGGCAGATACTGATATATGATAGAATGATTTTTTATCTTATGTTGTTACTACAATATATATTCTTTTTAAACTATGTTAAAATGACTTAATTTTTTTTTAAAGTATGCATTAATATGATCATTTATTAAAGTATTTAAATTCAAATAATAGCATTTTTTTACTTTTCTGCATCTTTACTGGTTGAAATATGTTATTTTTCCAATACATTTGATTTGTGAATTCTTTCACTTACTGTATCAAAAAAAAAAAAGAAATATTGCAACCCTAAATACCCAGCACTGCAAAAATTTATTATACCCTAAGCAAAATGTTTTTGAAACAATGGCTTCTTAAAGGCATGTTAAAGAATGAGTAAAAAAATGTGTGTGTGTGTGTATATATATATATATATA